TAAATGATGGGCTTAAAATGCTTTAATACAGAATTTGGACATTATTCACTCTCAAAAGAACTAAAATATTCTTGAATGACAACTTAATTTGGGGGCAATTTTTAGGATTTCCTTTTAACTATCTCAGTAATTATAGCCGTTTTTAAACTTTCAGTAGCATCCTCAACAAAATGCCTATCGGTTATGTTCCATATAAACAGGAATTATCAGTTTAAAAGCTGAAAGTAATCGATCGTGACTGAGCCACTCTGTTTATGTGAGATAAAATTATCTCAAAATTGTAGTCAAGAATATCATGGCTTTCAAAAAGTAACTTCACATGCATTTTATTTGTTAACTGAAAGATTCCTTTAAACTAAAACCCTACCTAAAGGATTTGTGTTTTTGCTCTTCTTTTAACTTGCTCTTCATCAACAGGCCCAGCTGTGAATTTTGGGAGCAGTGACAAGTCCTTGAGTAAACAACTGCTGAGTGAAACCCTTTCTTCTGAGTAATCAGAGGTCGTTGACAAAGGGGCTACATACCAAATATCCTTTCAAAATTCTTGTAAGAAGTGGGGCAGAAATAAAATAAATAAATACATGTATATGCTAAGGAAAATTATAATCCTACTCCTCTCTGGATTCTGCTTTACTTAAAACACACACACACACACACACACACACACTTTGAAAAAGAGTGAGATAGTGTTACAAGTTTCCGAAATGAGAAATAATCCCCACTAATCAAGTACAAAGTGGAGAAAAATAGTTCCATTACTCAAAGATTATCAGGCACCTGATAAACAGAATTTAGGTAGGGCATGTTTAAGAACCCAGCATCACTGAATGTGAGCCTGTAAAACTGTATGTGGAACTTTTATTGCCTGGACTTCACTTGGGTCATTTTAAGACAGTCGATTTTAAATTGAACATATACTTTTGAACTATACCCTCTCTTTCTAAGGTGATTTTTCTTGGATCCCAGAAAGCATCAACTGAATCTTATCTATAATGTTGGCAGATAGGTGTTTCTAAAGATCTCAGTTCTGCTTTATTTTTTTCAAAACCAAATTACTTAACTTAACGTGTAACACTTGAATCAGCGCAGATAACCGCTAACAGCTTGAAATAAGCAGACACAGGTAAGAGACTATCATTTACAGCATCTATGATTCCCAATAAACAGGGACGATGTGGCAAAATCTTGCCTATTTTGGGTCCAGGATTATTAATAAAATCCAGAAATCTAAGCTATAGTCTCAGTTCTTATCATCCTCTTTGCAATATACCACTTCCCCTTGTTTTCTTCTCTTCCAATGTCTTTATTATAGTTTCACTCACATCTCAAAATCAGCTTTGGATTATAATTTGTGCATCACACTTTAAGAGAAACCACACCCACAGAACAGTTTTTCATTCATTTAATTTGAAAAATTAAGTTTTCATCTTAAACTGAAGTGATAAACATTTTCTTTATGAAAAACAATCTACATTCTTTTCATGGAAATGATTACTGCTACTTCAAGTTACAGAGCTGCACGTCCTAAACAACTTTATTGATGCCAAAGTTAACCTCAAGATTTGGAAGGAAAAATTCACTATAAAGTTACAATAACTCCTATGCTATTTCAGCTACAAATGCTCACGTAGTTGTTTTTTTGTTTTGTTTTGTTTTGGTTTGGTTTTTTTGTACCCAACTAAACAGTTGTGAGAAAAACTAAGAAATATAAGCTGGATTTATGTCCCCTTTCCCTCTATCCTAAGACTTCAATTTCCACCTTTTATGGAAAGGAAATAAACAACTAGCTTCCTGTTCAATCACTAGCTTACAGCCAGTCTTTTACACATCACAGAGCACAACCCGCCTCCTTCACTTCTCTCAAATGTCTCTTATCTTAATTTAAACTTGTTGAAATATGAGACCATTTTACCACTCCAAGATTTTCCTACAAAAATCTGTCTTACTTATTTCAACATTAAGAATGCAAGAAACGTCAGAATGTCCACAGATTTATTCCTAAAATATTTATACTAAAGTATTTATATAACAAAGACTTAGTACCCTATCAAAGTGAAAAGCTGACATGTCAAAATTTAAAACTAGTGAAATTAATAGGAAACGGTTTAATCTGTTCTTACTATTGTATACAATTAGAAAAGGGCCTTCCTACTTCAGTTCTCTGTTTCATGTTTTACATAAAAACAGCTAAAATGGCTATCAATTAGAAGGATTACTTTTTTAAAAGCCAAATATTACTTTAACCCTATACTTTCCTTTAAAAATGAGATGCCTTAGCAAAACTGAGAATTCTTTTGTGCTTGGATGAACAACAGGAAAGCCAAGCCTCCAGGCCTTTGGGGAGGAACCTTGTCCCTGCAGCCCAGCTCTGATGTGCTTGGGAGATAAGGCTGGTAGTGACACTTAAGGAAAGGCCTGTTCACATTTGAATTTCTGCATTCCTCAAGAACAATTCCTGGCAATAACTAACTTTGCAGAAGAGCTACATGAAAGCTTTGGCCAATGAATGAGGGTCATCTGCTCTTTATCACAAGGGTAAACCTCATCCTGGCCAGTTTCTAACCTTTTAACCCTGTGAATTCCTAATTTACACATGAATAATGGAATTCTTGCCTAGAGTGCAACTTTCAGCTTCTAGTTCCTAAGTTTAAAAACCAAGACTTGATTGCCTGTGTGTTAAAAACCTAAAACTCACACGGATTCAAGTTTTTGATTTCCAGGTACACGATACAATTTCCAAAAGACATACTTGCTGACAAAATCTTTGACTAAGAAAATTAAAAGAACACGCATGCACCCTGCTAATAACTAGGAGAGAGCTGGGTTAAAAAAAAAAAAAAAAAATCAGTAACCAGGAGAGAAGTATTGAGAGCTTAAAACAACAACAAAAACAGAATGTCCACTTAATGCCTATTCTCTCCTGTTTAATATGTGCAACATCTTTACCCTGAACACAGGATAAAGTGATTTGAGCCTCCCTGTGACAATGCTTCTTAGATATTAGAACTTTGTTAATTCAGAATCTCTATGAAATCTCATACATCTAAGGAAAAATCTAAACCTACCATGCATTGCTTATTTTAAATCCATACCATGGTTTTCCTAGCAAAATATCTCCTTTGCCTTAAATAAAATGTGCACATATGAAGAATGTGGTCCCTAGCTGATTACAACTGGTATTTAATAGCAAAGCAATGTATTACATAGTTCCATTGGAGAGTTTTTGATACTTAAAATATAAAAAATTGCTTAACTATGATAGCCATCAAAATAATTTACATTTACTTAAATATTTACTGTTAATGATCATTTTCATAAGCCACAAAAATCTAAAGATACTTTAAAAGCCAGTATTAACATTTGTTTATTACACCTATCACACACCATTCCAACTTTATTTATGAAGCTAGAAAGTTCTGTGAGTTTTCAAAGCGTTTCTGGGAGTCCTAAAATTCTGTCAGGCTTCTCAGGAGGTCCTGGAAACCATGTGTGGTCATGACAAATGCTTCATCTTTTCAAGGCCTAGCCACACCCCTCACTCCCCCTGCCTCTAAAAGGTAGTACAAGTTACTGTTCCTGGGTATAAAAACACAAGATTTCACAGTCTCAAAAAGACAGAAAATTACAACTCTGTAGAACAATTTTACATTAGACAAAAAAAATTAAAAGATCAGAGTAAAAACCACACTGCTCTGAAAATGATACTATCCAGAAAAACCATTACTTAATGGGAAAAAAATATTATTGGCCAATGATTACAGCAAATAAATAAATAAATAAAGAGAAGAAAGAAAGTGTATGCTGTTCTTTGGTGAGGGCAGTGGTGGGGTTAGAACTGGAAACCTCTAATTTTCTGGCATATTTCCATATAAAAATACTTTGGCCTGCAATTTATTTTTTTTTTTACAATCATTGTTGTACATATGAAATAAATGACTAACATGGCATAAACATAGCCATGAAACATTACAACAGTTAGTTACCTAAGAAATTCCTCCCAATAACTTCCTAAAATTCAATTGTATAGACCTTGAGGAAGCTATTTCCTCATTGCCTTTATCTCATGAACTCTCTCTTTCTACTGTTCACCTTGTAAATGATCAATTAGCAAAAGCTATCGGCTGAGGATTAACAAAAAGCATGCATGTAACGCTATTATTAGAAACAATTTTGCTTTGTTTGATGTTTCAAGATTCCAAATTCACTGTAGTCCTGAATACTGTCTGATCACCTGAAGACACAGAAAGCCTCCTCAGGAACAAGGAGTTTACTACCTGCCCTAGACCCATCTTCACACTCAACAGTTACCAGGCCTATCACCAAGCAATGGATCACTTGAACAAATAATTGATCTGATAGGGTCGTTAATACAAAGAAAATCAGGACACAGCAAACTTTATGACAACTGGAGGAAAAAGTAAGCAGATCTGGTTTCAGTCCATTAGGCATAATATGGAAATAGCCTTAATCTCTTTTTATCTATTTCCCTCCCAGCAGGAAAAGACTAGGAAGACTTCAAAGGCTTGGGGAGTTACTGACCAATGCCCTCTCTTACAATTAAAAAGCAACATGGGTGATCTAAAAGCAGTCTGAGAAATAGAAGGTTGGGTTGTAACAAAGATTTAGCACTCAAGAGCCATCTACAAAGTGCCAAGATCTGCTTGTGATTGTTTTCAGTCAATTACTAAGTCCGAACATTGGGGACTTCTGTTGGGTTGGCTGGCCGAACTCCTACACCCAATGCTTAAGCATGAACCAGTTTAAATTTGTGTAAAGCTACCTCCACAGGTTTTATTTTACTTAGTGTTCGCAACCTAACTTGATTTTTGTTCCCAATCATTCATTTGAACTTTGATATGGATTTTTCTCAGATTTCTCTGTATGCCTTAACATCAACCATTGTCTCTAATAAAAATTTTTATGCAGCTTTTTTGTTATATTACTACATCAGGAAATCACCATAATGTAACAATGAAAAATGTCCAGAACCAAGAACTTACTTGATAAGGTCAGATGAGCTTTTTGACTAAGAATGGCTCCATATTTGTTCATTGCCAAGCACTGATAAAATCCTTCATCAGATTGCTCTCCTCTTCTGCCTTCCACCTCACTTATGTATAAAGAGCCATTGAAAAGAACATGGATCCGTTTATTTTCAGACACTTTTGCTCCATTTTTCAACCACGTGACCTTAATAGGAACTTCTCCGTGGGCTTGGCAATCTAAAACCACTGGGTCCTTTCTCGTGACAGTTGTGTCCTGTGGCTCTTGTATGAAAAAGAGTTCGCTAAAGCACCATGCTCCTATAAGGGAAGAGGGAGAAAGGCATGTCCAGAATTATAGGCATCATATCATTTCTTCACACATATTCAGGCCACCATCAGACCAAGCTTAGCAACCCATCTTAGCTAACTTAGACACACCTTAACATCTTACGTTTCAGCCAACCTTCTCAACAAGTCCAGAGAAATCGCCTTCTATGCCAGGAGCATAGGAAAGATTTTAGTAACTTCTATCCCCCGGAACATTTCTGTTCTCAAGTTCCTTTCTAGAGTTTCAAAATCATCAGGAAAACTCATGGACACAAGCTGTTCGCAACTTTTACAAGCTTGTCAAAAAGATCTTGAACAGAGTAAGTCGTAAAAGTCTAATTTTACAAGAAATCATTAGCAAAACTCCAACTCTGTGAACAAGCGAGTTTATTTCCTTGTCCCTTGAAGTGTTTTTAGAACCCTTGGCACCTCCTCCTTTGGGAAGTGCGTTTATCTCTTGTGACAAATTACAACTTTGCATTTTTCTATCTCCCCTTTTTTACAGCAGGGACTCTGTCTTCGCCTCCTGAAAGAAATCCATTTACTTAATTTCTGCAGAGCAAGCTAGGTATTTAAAGGACAAACAATAGACTCTGAAAAGTTGGTAACTCTTGCTGCTTGTACTCAGTGGGTGATCGGATTAGGAAACTTTTATTTCACTTTTTAGAACTACCAACTGTTGGAAAAAATGCGTGACTAATTGGTCCTCACTGTCTAATAGGGATAGGAGATTGCTTAATCAACCAATACACAATTTTATCAGAGCAGAGGAAAGGCTTTATCCTAAACACACACGTTGCCCCTGGACCCCTCTAGGATAAAGCATTCGATGACCAAGTAATACTTCGTCACCTCAGGCATTCAGCGCCAAGGCCAGCTAAAGTCGTGCACATTGACTGAGACAGAACGAAGAGTTAGGAGCTGGAGAAAATGTTTCACCTTCTTCCTAATCATTTAGAATCCATGATTACAAATCCTTTGGGAGTGATTTCTGTTTCTCATCAAGGCAGGTCCTCGGAAACCTCACACTCCGGGCTCCCAACGCCCCTTGATGTATGCCCAAGGCGACGGGAGCCACCCTAAGAGCCCCGTGCAGGGCAGACCACTCCGGAAGGCGCCCATTGTGTTTCTCAGTCACATCTGACTTTGATCCTTTTCTCATGCTAACAAAACTAACTCCTCGAGAAAACAACGTTAAGTCCAGCGTTGGTACCCTGTAAACGAATAACGTAATCCGTTCTCCTGCACACCTTTCCCTATTCCCGCTTCCTACGCCCATCCCACATTCACTTTACACATTTTTCTCTTGGCAGAATATGGAGGTGAAAAAGTGAGCCACCCAGTCTAAGTTTGCTCCAGGCTAACCTGGAGTTTGAAGGAGCCTTCAGGTCCCTACACACCGTAAAGTAGGCCCTGCCCCAAAATACCGAGTGGCAGGAAATAAATCCTGTTTAGACACCTTCTTCCCAGCTTCGGGCGCCCTTTCTCGCTTCCCTCCCGGCACACGGCGGCCAGGAAACCGCCAACCTCCTCTTCACAATTCCAGTTTCCCATCTCCTCGTCGCTTGGTCCGGCTCCCGGAAAGTAGGGGCGACCAGGGTGTGACCCGAGCCCTGAGTTCATCCATTCCCTCCCCAGGCCCCGAGCCGTGGGCACGGCGGGAGGACGCCCACAGAAAACACAGAAAGTCGCGCGGAACCGCGGCGCCCCCCGCGCGGCCCGGCCGCCA